GCCACTCTCCCATTTTATTCTTACAGCAGCTTCCAGGCAGGTGCTGGTAGGGCTCTTATAGGACATCTAGTCTAAACCAACAACCAGTGGCGACCATGCAAACTTGTGTATTCCTAATGGATGGGCTGTCCAGTCTCTGTCTGAAAACCTACAGTGAGGGAGAGCTTTATCCACCCAACTGGGTTATCGGTTCCATTGGTGAACTGCATTTATCCTCAGAAACGTAATTGCAGTTGGGTAGCCAAGTTATTGTGTAGCAGCAAGATAAAACAGGAGTTCAGGAGCACCTCAAATACTAGCAACATTTATTCCAGCATATGCTTTTGTGAGCCAAAGCTCACTTCATCAGATGTATTGGAGTGTATATCCATTGGGTTGATGTTTATATATTCACAGCAGAAAGCTGGGAGGGATGTTACAAAGAAAGATTGATTTAAAAGAAGATCCAACACACAAGAGGACTCAGTTATGTTCACTCAGAATGGATGTAGGTGTGGGAGTGAGTTGATCTTTTAAATCGGCCTCTCATTGTAACACCTCCTCCCCATTCACCCTGGGGGCTTTCCACTGGGAAAGTAAGAGTATGGATTTAATGGATGTATACTCCAATGCATCTGATTAAGTGAGCTCTGACTCATGAAAAGTTATGCTGGAATAAATTCTGTTACCATTTAAGGTGCCACTGGATTTTGACTTAGAGTTAACAAATTTCTCATAAGGTTCAAACAGTCTGGTTTAAATATTCTCTTAGGGTATGGGGGACATCTACACTGGGCCTGTAGGTATGAGGAATACTAATTCAGAATGAAAGAATGAAATTTGTATGTATTTGAATAAATGAATGGTATTGCCTGTAAAGCAGCTTAGGATGGGAAACAGCAGCTCACCAAAGGTCACCCAGTGAGCATTATGGCTGAGAAGGGATCTGAAAGCAGGTTTCCCCAATCCTAAATTGACACTCTAGACACTACATTCTGGCTAGCTTTCTTTGGGGCATGCCTAAGCAGGTCTACACAGAAGTAAGTCCAATGTTATGACAGCCAGCATGGTGCAGTGGTTAGAGTGTCAGTCCTAAACTGGGAGACCCAGGTTCAGATCTGCACTCTGCCATGGAAGCCTGCCGGGTGACCCTGGGCCAGTCACACCCTTCTGGTCAAACCTACCTCACATGGTTGTTGTGAGGATCCACTGAAGGAGAGGAGAATGTTGTTAAGCCACTTTGGGGAGACGTGGGTGGAGTATAAATTAGGAAACGGAACATTCAGTGTGATTTACTCCCAGGAAAGTGCCTGCCATAGGGCTGCTAGGATAGCTCTTCCGGTCTCACCTTAGTGCCCAGCAAGACGCAGACGTCCAGGCGTCGCTTGTGCTGTTCCAGTATGCTGAGCAGGTGTTCTTGGAAGACCCCGATCTTGGTGAAGAAGCGCTCCTTGTCCCAACAGCCTTCCATGTTGTCGAAGTCCACCCCCAGACCCAGGAGGAAGCGGACGCTGCGCGGCTCCAGCGCGATCTGCTGGGGCCTGCAGAGGAGCGCCGCGCGGGAGCGCTCGTCCAGCAGCGTCAGTTTCAGCACCTTGCCCGAGCGGACAGCGACCAGCGCGGCCGTCAGCCCCACGGGGCCGGCGCCCACCACCAGCACCGACACCTTCGCCCGCCAGCGGCGGAAGCCGTCCACGCTCACCTTCAGCGCCGCGTAAATCAAGACGGCCAGCAGGGTGCTCAGAGCCGCCTCCACCGCCAGCCTCTCGTACTCGTCCATGGCTGAGGCGCCTCCTGGCTGGGCAATGCCCGCGGGCCGGAGTTTAACCAGCGCCCTGACTGGCTGGGCTCTGCCTGCCCACGCTCGCTTTTGCCCGGCTACTTCTGGGAGGGAATCCGAGAGCTAGGAGAGCAAGCCCACTCCTCTGGCCCTGCCCTGTCTCCGTTCCCTTGACGCTCCTAACCTGAATGCGGGACAGAGGCTAAAGAGGCCGGCGAAACCCTGCCTGCCTCTTCTGTGTTCTGGTGGGAAGGACAGAGCCAATAGGAAACTTTGCTCGGTAATGGGGAATAAAGAACAATCGCCCTGCTGTTTAAAGGCTCACGGAGGTCTTTAAGGCGCTGCAGATTATTCCTATGAGTTCCCTTGAATTTAGATCTAATGGACAGCAGGGTTTGGGTGGTTTTTTTTTTTTGGGGGGGGTGTTTTTGTTTTTTTAAGCAACCTTGGATTTGTTAAACAGAAACAAGGATTTTGTACTCACCCACCACCACCACCAGTAAAACTAAAGTAAGGCAATACTTTCATGAGAACTATTTAAAACAACACACGTGAACACATTTTTGAGTTTCTCAGAATTCTCCATCGGAACAGATGTTGGGACAGAGAGCAAACAACCAGACAAAGAAAATCTGGGGGAGAGGTGGTGATGTTGTCCCTCCTAATGGAAAGTCAGCATATTCTAAACGTTTGGCACTGGCATTGAAGAGGTGTGATGGACACTTAATTACTTTTAGACTGCAGGGTGTCAAAAATATCTCAAGTTACACCAACTTGAGATATTTGGGTCTTAAAGGTGCCACTGGACTCTAAATTTGTTCTACCAAAAACGAAGACATTGTAGCAGCTCTTCCCTTGAAGAAAAAGGGGAGGGGGAGTCAGCTAAACTGTTTCTGGTTTTGTCAGAAGAGGTAGGTTCCTTATTGGAAGGGAGAGACAAGTTTTAAAAATACCATAGTCCTTATAGTATTGAGATGAATTTCAAGTGGTGTGCTACAAAATGAGTCAGTAAAAGCCAGAGTAGTATTACCTAGTGGCTGAAGTTCATGTCTCTCTCTCCCCCCCCACACACAAAAATTCTCTTGACCTCGATTACATTCACCTCCCAGAAAAGGTGCAACATCCCCCCAGTTCACATGCAGCCTTATAGTGAAACACAGCAGACAGTGCAAGATCAAGAGTGTAAAAGCCATACTCTTGTGCTTTTCAGGGGGGAAAGAACTTTATTCAAATTTAAAAGACCACAAGAAAAAAAAAGGTTATTCAAACATGTAGATAGAACAGTTGGAAGCTACATTCCAGAGAGGAGATTTCTGCTATCTATAATTATGCAGATAGCAGGCAAACATTGAATTCTACATAACAAGAGCAGGTTGTTGCTGATATTTAGTTATTCAGCCCCGTGGCCCCAGCCAATCCATCCACTAAAAAATCCTCCTTGGTTTATCTGTAGCTAATGAGATACTCATTCATGACTGAGTGAAGTTTTTAAGGCTATGAGCATATTTGTATTTTTAACGTCAAAGGCGTAGCCATATTAGTCTGCAGCAGCAAAATTATATATATATATAGACACACATACACACACACACACACACACATTTAATGCTTTATTCTGTTTCTCTCTAGTCAATGAACAAACTATCCAACCAGAATAGCAGGACTACAGGGACCTTACTGATGGCTGCTCAGCTCCAATATCCTGGAAGCCTTTGACATTAAACACTAGATGCTCAGGAAACCAGGCAGACTGTAGAAGTTAGGCTGCAATTCTAAGGATGCTTTCCCAGCAGTAAACCCCACTGAATTACATGGGATTTGCTTCCTAGTAAACCAAGTGAAGATTGTTCCCATAACATCTCAGGTTCCATAGCTCTAGTTCTCCTCCAACTCTGCCCTCTTTTTTGCAATCTAGTGTAAATCCTGCAATGGGACTATAATTTAATTAATTTAGAGAATTACTTTTAGGATCAAAAGAACAGATGCATAACACACACTAACATGGATTCCAATAACATCAGCTGTGTTGATGACATTTTAGCCGTTTTCAAAACAGAACACTGATTGTTCTCGCAGTGCACAGCTCTTATCACAGCAACCCCACCAGCTGCATGGGAAAGAAATTAATCACCTGCTTTAGGGAGAGGTGGATTTGCATTGGGAGAGCTATGTATTTTAGCATCAACAAGGATGCAGGGATGCATTGATCACAGAGTATGCCATTGTGGCTAGAAGCTGCTTGCATTGCTACTGTCAAAAGACAGGGATCTCAGGGGTTGGACTAATGTATTCCTATGTATGAGAAGGGTAATACATGTTTGTTTCAGCAAGAAGTAGTTTTGAGTGTTGAGACTCAGAAAGATCAGAACAGGCATCCAAAAGCAGATTCTGCAATCTGATATTCTCTTTTTTGGGACTTACTTCCAAGTAAACATGTAGAAGATTAAGCTGCGTTATCATCCAGCCAGTGTAGAAGCCACAAAACGGCTAGAGTTCTCCTGCTATTATCTTGTAATTCTGAAGTAACTATTTCCTTCTCATGCATAGTTTTATAGGGGCCCTGTGTCCCCTGCAGACTCCTGGGGAACTGAAAAGAAATCTTGATCTCTGATAGGTTAAAGATGTTTTAGTTATCAGACTGAGATGGGGGTATTTTAATGACAAATTGCAGGTAGGACTGGCTGGTTGAAGTCAGTTCTCAAAAGACAGTTCATACAGGACAGAAAGAATTAGGCAGGAAGACAGGTGGAGCCAAGGAAGGTTTGCAGATGTAGAAAGCAAAATGGGACCAGGGAGTGACAGAATGAAGACCGTGTGTGTGTGTGCTTGGAACAGAGCACAGGAGGTGTTTTGCTGCAGAATTAGAACGGGAAGTCCTGTACATCTTGGGTCCCACCATGCATGGCGGCCTGTTTGGTGAAATCTTGGTTTGGCACCTTCCTGAGACTGCCAAAACATAAGATGGTCACATACTTGGCAATAAATAGGCACCCAAGCTGTGCATGCCTCTTACGATGCAACAGGAAAGGGCAGCAGCCATTTAACAGTGCCCAGTTGTGAAGCAAGACCAAGACCCAATGAAGCTAATTGGGCCTTCAAGGCCAACCATTTTCTTAAGACTCTTACAGCAGCTCAAAGAAACAGAGCTCCAGCCTGGCTCCTGATCCAAATACCCTTGTGATTGTTTCACCTAATATTTCCAGCCATTGCTGGGAAGCTTATGAGAACATGTGTGGGTGAATTCAGTCATTGCCTACAAACAGCATTTTAATTGGTTTATTGTGAACATGTGTGATTACAAGCCTAGCATCTGCATCTTTTCAAAGCAACATTGGAGGCAGCCCTGGCTGCAAATACACTTAAGGAATGAGGAATTCGCAAATGTATCGTTTGAGGGTACGGCAAACTTGGTCGGCCCACTTTCCTTGAGCCGACTGAGAAAGCGAGATGCAATTTTCACGTTTCCCTCCATTGGGTTGTGAGCGATCCCAGTTGAAGTAGTTCAGAACCATTCCGTTGACATCAACAAACTTCCCCTCGTTGACCATATCAGTGACACCCAGCCAAAAATCCGCCACACCCGGCAGGCTCTTTTTGCCATAGTCTCGGAGTGCATTGGTTTCATCACCATCTCTGGGGATAGCAAGAGTGCCTCCCTTGGCTATACAGTCTTCATTTGCTTCATGGAAATGTTTGGCACCATCAGATGCCAGATAGCATTTCTTGTGGACTTTTGTTCCACGAAGACAGACTGTAAAAGGAAGAGAATTTAGCTCATCAGGACACGTGCGGCTCCTAGCAGGGCCAATTGTACCTCTATAGGACCATTGCAAGTCCAGAAAATGCTGCAGGAGCCCCCCACCCACCCAGGTACTGCAGTTATGATCTGAAACTGGGCACATGCATGCCTGAGAAACATGGATCTTCAGTTGGTGCAGAATGCTGCAGCCAGATATTGACTGGAATGTGTCATCAGGACCATATCACTCCAGTCCTGGCTCATCTGCACTGGCAATCTACCAACTCCACTCAGCTTGAAAGGTGGGTCCTTAACTTGACTTGCCTAACCTGGATGCATGGATCCTTCAAGGCTAGACTACTGTAATGCATTCTACATGGGTCTGCCCCTAAAGACTACCTCTGAAATTCCAATTGGTACGAAATGCCACAGCCTGGCTACTATTTGAGCTAAGTATTCATTACAGATCAGGTACTGGGGTCAATTCAAGGTTCTGATGATCATTTACAAACCCCTGAATGGCACTGGACCCACATGCCTACAGGGCCACCTCTCCTTCTATGTTCCGCTGCAACAGATTCACTCATCAGAGCAAAACCTCCTGAAGGTGCGACACTGCAAATGGGTAAAACTGCAACTGCCCATTCGTGCACACTCTCTGTGGTGACTCCCACATTAGGGGATGGCCTACCTGAGGCTATCATGGAGGTCCCACACTCCTCTCATTTTGCAGGATGTACAAAACACAATTGTTCAGGAGGGCTTTCTTATAAAAGGAGTAGAATTACAGTATAAGGGATCAGGTCAGAAAGTTACTGCTATAAGGGATAAACTCTTCTTACACTGAACATTTTGGTGGCTTAGACAACAATTCTTCACTCCCAGCCCCATTGTGTTATTTTGTTTGACTGGGGGTAGAGCCTGGGGAGGGTGGGGTATAGGGAGGGGAGGACATCAGCAGGAGTACACCCTCCAAAGCAGCCATTTCCTCCAGGGGGGTTGATCTCTGTCATCTGGAGATTAATTGTAATACCAGGAAATTGCCAGGCCCCACCTGGAGGTGGGTGGAGCTGCGGTGGCTCAAGTGGTTAAGATGCTGAACTGCAGGCTGTGGAAGGTCAGTAGTTCAGCAGTTCGAGACCCGGGTGCCGCAAGACGGGGTGAGCTCCCGTCTCTAGTTCCAGCTCCTGCCAACCTAGCAGTTCGAAAGCAAGAAATTGCAAGTAGATAAATAGGTACCACTTCGGTGGGAAGGTAACAGCGTTCCGTGTGCCTTGGTGTTTAGTCATGCCGGCCACATGACCACGGAAATGTCTTCGGGCAGCGCTGGCTCTTCGGCTTTGAAACGGACATGAGCACCGCAACCCTAGAGTTGGATTCGACTGGCTTTCGAGCAAGGGAACCTTTACCTTTACCTGGAGGTTGGCACCATGCGCAGGATGAGGAGGACAGGTGCTGCCTTGCCTTTCTGCCTCTATGCCTCACTGCCACATGAGGCATCTTCCTGCCTTCCTGTGGTGATGGGTGGCTTGGGCACCCTAGCCTAGGGCACCCAAAAGCCTTGTAGTGGCCCCGTGAGGGTTAGATTGGGAATAGAAGACTGGACCAAAGAGCTCCATAGCCATCTGCATTTTGAATCTGGGTTTGCACAGTCACATGAACACACTTGAAGCTGCGATATACTGCATCAGACCATCAATACTGTCTACTCAGACTGACTGTGGCTCTCCAGGGTCTCAGATAGAGGACTTTTCACAATACCTGCTGCCTGGTCTTATTTGCTGGAGATGCCAGGGATTGAACCTGGGACCTTCTGCATGCCAAACGGATGCTCTAACACTTTGCCATGGCCCCTCTCCTAACCTAACACTGTAAGCACTTTACCAAAATGTTGCTTAGACTGAGGAATTGAAATTATTTATAAGGCCTGGTGAAATCCCATTAGAAGGTTGTGTCACCTGACCTCTGCTGAACTGATAGCTTATTAATCTAAATATTTGTATGTCACCTTTCTTTTTGGTTCAGGGTAACTTACAATAATAGTTAAAATAAAACCAGAATAAAATAACAATTGCCCAATCTCTCCCTTCCTCCCCAGTTAAAAGATGCCTGCCAGTTCAAACCCCTCGGAAGCCCTGTCAAATAAGCAAGTCTTGCAGTGCCTCCTGAAGATCTCCCAGGAGGGCCCCCTCTCACCTCTTTAGGGAGCCCATTTGACAGGGCAGGAGCCAGGACAGAAAAGGCCCAGGCTCTGGAGAACGCCTGTGGTGTCGGTTAATGTAACTGGAACTCAGTCAGATACTCCATTTTGCCTATAATTCTTTCAGCTGTTTTTGTTTGGGAGGTGGAGCAGGGAAGCTAAAAATTACTTGGGACTGCTATTTAAACTATTTATGTTCAAAAAACAGTTCCCCTCAGCCTCACCACACTGGTTTCATGGTGTACTGCAGGGGAAAATGGATATTTGTATTGACATCAGAGTAGACCAAAATATCAGGAAATAGGTGTATACTTGGCCGTGCACCAAAGGCAAGGATCTGAAGGCCTTTTCATTGCTTAGGGCTAGAAAATGCCAAAATAAAGTTAACTGTGTATGAGGTAAGTCCAGCGCTTAGCAAATAAATGCAGGACAAAGTATCTAAAATGCTACTTAGAGGAAAACCCATTCTGAACATTCTGAATTTGTTTCCTTGAACAACTGACAAAAACTAATTCCAAGTGATTTAACACATTTTTCCAGTTTTAAGGGGATCGGGCTTTAATTTTTACAGGGATTAACCATCCAGGGTTAAGCACTTTGGAATCCTAGAGAATTTTAACATGGATAATGTGCTTTGGCCCTGCCCTGGATTGCTAGCCTTATCTTGTTGGATAGGAGCCCTGGTTAGTATCTGGATGGGAGAACAAGACAGAAAATTGTGTTGTGGGACTCCCGTTGCCTCTTCAAACATAAGTATATCGGAGTGTTGACATGAGCAGCCTGAATAGCTCTGACTAGCTCAAGCTCATCAGACGTTGGAAGCTAAGCAGGGTCAGCCCTAGTGAGTACTTAGATGGGAAAACACCCAGGAAGTCAGTGATAGTTATGCAGAGACAGGCAATGGCCAACCACCTCTGAACATCTTTTGCCTTGAAAACCCTACCCGGTGGCCATACGTTGGTTGTGACTTGACGGCACTTTCCACCACCAATGTGCTTTGAGTCTCCTATAAAAATCATAGGGACTTCTGATCGAAGTACATGTCACATGGGGAGATCTGTATGGGATCAGCCAATTTGTTCAAAGCAGCAGCAGCAGCGGTAAGTATAAAGGAATGCTCCATGCTTCCCCTCGTACATCGATTGTATGTACATTCACTGTAACTAGTGGACAGGGCTTCTATGTACAGGGTACATTAGATTTTTCTTCATGCTGGTGTAGAGTAACCAGGGCTCTACTGGTAGCAGGAGCTCCTTTGCATATTAGGCCACACACCCCTAGTGTAGCCAATCCTCCAAGAGCTTACAGTAGCCCCAGTAAGAAGAGCTCTGTAAGCTCTTGGAGGATTGGCTACACTAGGGGTGTGTGGCCTAATATGCAAAGGAGCTCCTGCTACCAGTAGAGCCCTGAGAGTAACTCTCATATTGCCTTCAACGCATCTATAGCACACATGTGATATAAACTCCACATCTACCCGGGTATTGGTCCCTGGTTCAATTTGTAAGGTGAATGTGTGTTGGCTCTTCCTTTACAAATTGATTTACACATGCACATGCAGGTTGTATGCACATTCGCTGTAACTTGTGAACCGGCCTAGTGACATGCTCTTGGTTGGGAGGAAGAGTTATGGAGAAAACCTGGATATTTGGGGGGGGGTGTGGAGCCTGGGGAGGATGGGGTCTGGAGAGGGGAGGGAACCTCAGCAAGGTATATTGTCATAGAGTCCACCTCCAAATCAACCATTTTCTCCAGGGGAACTGATTTTTGTCATCTGGAGATCAGTCGTCATTCCTGGAGATCTCTAGGCCCCACCTGGAGCCCTACTGGGAGGGAATGTGGTTGGTGGGAAGAAACATTTCACAGATACAGCTTCTCTAAATGTTCTTGCAGCAGAAAGAGAAGAAGAGCCAGTGGTACCTGTCTGAAGTGCTTGCATTTCTTTCAGGGAATTGACCTCTTGCCAAAGCTTGTCAATCTGACTCTTTAGGTCACCATTTTTCTCTGAAATAAGTCAGTAGAACAGAATCAACATATCTGCGTGCAATAAAATACATACATTTCCAATGCCACCCTAAGCCCACTTTCCTGGCAGTGACTAAGCCCCATTGGATAGACCTGAATAGGTTTCTGGGAAGACTTGCTTAAGGTGGCTCGCTTAGTTGTGGAGAGCAGTGCAGGAATGTTTCTACCATTTAACAAACTGGTTTCAAGAACTCTGGGAACTGCCATTGTATGAAGTGCTTGGGGGTTACTAATCTCTAGCAGAACTCTTAGCACTTTCATTAAATTACAAAGTCCCACATTTCTGTGCCAGTTGTACCCAAGAATGTGATACTGCCACACTCTTTCCCCATCTAGCCCTTCCTCTCCTGATCACCAAGGCTAGCAAGAAGAAAAATTTCCTGTCCCTTTAATAGAGGCTTAACATGTGGAAATAGGCTCATGAAGCTCTTCATGGCATGGAGGTAAGTAATATCATCTGGTAGACGGCATTCCATTAAAGCTTCTATTAAAGGGAGAGGACACCTTTTCTCCTGGTTGCTAGCAATTCTACCCAAGTCTCTGGCCAGGAAATTTTTTGAAGCTCCAAGTATATTCCAGGCTGGATTCTGGGTTGGAAAGGGAATGCTGGTTGGTGGAACACCAAGCAAGCCAGACTTTTGTTCCAAGTTGGCAGGCTGCCATGTGCATGAACCCCTACAAGTGTGCAAAGGTAGTACAGGTTCTACATCGGGTTCTGTGAGAATGCTTCATGTGGAAGCCAGAGAGATTTGTAAATTTTACCAGATATGCAAAGCAGTGGAAAAAACCTTTCAGTAATAATGACACTTTCCTAGTTTGTGTGTTCAGTTCTACCTCTTCCTCATATGACTATCTTCAAAAAACACCACTGAACTGCAAAAAAAAAAAAATTGTCCTGGAAAAGATTGGTGTCAGATGTAATATATCTTCATCCATCACATTGTGACACCAGATAGATGTATTGAATGGTGTAAATGCCAGACACCTCAGCTGAACGTTGCAGAACTCTGTAGGACCTGTGTGATAAATCCTCATTACAACTCACGGCAGATGGTTTAGCTTGTTCTCAAGTTCCTTGACCAGATGTTCACCAAATTTTGTCCTCCTTACACTGCATGGTATGTAATCAGAGATGACTGTGCCAGTTCTGTTTTCCCATACACCTGGGAAGCTGGTCAAATGGAGGACATGTCTCCATGCACATTTAGAATAAAGAACAACTCAAAGGTCTTGCAATGTTAAAACTCATTTCTGCAGAAGCATCCCAATTAGCAGCTCTGATGAGCTTGCTGAAGCTCAGATGGTACCAATCCAGATAAAGTTTTGCTGAAAGCAATAATATAATCAAGTCAGCCTTTATTGGCACATATCAGTAGAACTGAAAGCCATATAATAATTGTGCCACCATCACAACGAATGGCAACCCCTCATGGGGTTTTCAGGGCAAGAGAGAAGTAGGGGTGGTTTGCAATATACCTTCCTCTACATAGCAGCTCCGGTCTTCCTTTCCTCGGTGGTCTTCCACACAAGTACTGACCAGAGCTTCCCAGCTCTGACAAGCTTAGGCTAGTCAGGGGTATTCAGGCTGCTGAAAGCAATAGGATGCTATTAGAAGCCACTTTCCCTGGTGATCTCAAATGGACTCTAAGCATGACTAAGTTGCCCCCCCCCCAAAAAAAAATCAGGGACCATGTCTCTGTCAATTTCTGTGCAAACATAAGTGACATTCTCTTCAGGGCTCTGACGTGCTCCCACTCACAGAGCCATTGTACATATGGTACCATTAAAAGATCACAGACTATGGTGACCATAGAAGGCCCAAGCATTTTTGTTCATGGCCACACACTGCAGTGGCACCTCAGAGGCAGCTTCCACCACAAGGAATAACTAACCACTTGACAAGTCCTTTACATGAAGAGCCAGTGTGGTGCAATGGCAAAATATAAATAAATAAATACAACTTTCATTTATGCCGATCGTTAAGCATCATTTTCATCCACCCCCTTCCTGTTGCTTACCTTTCACCCTCCGCTTGCTGTGCTTCCTGGCTTTCGACTGTCCATTTGCCTGATCCAGCAAAAGCAGGGCAACCACCAGAAGGAAAATCAGAAATCCTGTTTGCGCCATGGCTGTTTCCAGACTGCGAGCGAGAACCTTCCCCGAGAGGCCCTTTCACTGCTCAGAAAGAGCTGGGCTGGGTTCAGCTTTATAGAAAGTCGAGCAGGGAACCTGGCTCAGTCCCTTGTTTACCAAATGAGCTAAAGCCTTCAGCTGGCTTCCACATAAGGTGCCTTCTTGTTCTCACTTCTCTTCCCAGACTTCTATTTCCTCTCAGTTCTGACCAATTACATGTCTCAGACTCACAGCCCAATGCTAAACCTGTTGACTCAGAAGACGTCCCCACTGAGTTGAAGGAGGCCAAGTTGCTTTAACAGGCTGTTTAGGATTACTGTCAGCCAAACTGTTGCAATTGGGACTGGTGTCGAGGGGTGGGGGGTTAGCAGGAATAGCAGCCTGGATATAAAGTCCAGTCTGTGGGTTCCCCATCATGAAACATCATTTTCAGGCATAAGTGTCAGTGCTGAAAGCAAGCTGTGGGACTACGGTTATGCAGAACAGTCTCTACATCACAAATGAGGATCTTGCAAATTCTGAAATAACAGTGAGAACATTCCTGAGGGTCCAGCATGTTTAAAAACATTTTCTTTATTTATATCCCACCTTTCTCTCCCAACAGAGACCCAACTTGATATTCCAAGGAAGTCTCCCATCCAAGTACTAACTGCAGTCAACCCTGCTTAGCTTCTGAGAGCTGACGAGATCAGGCTTGCTTGGGCTATCCAGGTCAGGGAAAGCTTTCACCCTTCTCCTCGCCTCCATTTTATCCTCACAACAACCCTGTGAGGTAGGTTAGGCTGAGAGTTTGTGATTGGCCCAAGGTCACCCAGCAAGCTTCCATGGCACATGTGGGGATTCAAACCTAAGTTTCCCAGATTCTAGTCCAACACTTTTAATCCCTACACCATGCTAGTTCAATAATACGTGTATATAGATCAAGACATATCTGAAGAAGTGAGCAGTGAGTTATGAAAGCTCATATCCTGCCACAAATTCTGTTAGTCTTTAAGGTGCTACTGGACTCTTGCTCTTTTCTAATATGTGTATATGTCTGAGTGTGTGTGCGTGTGTGTGGGTGCATGTACTGAGCTCGAGAAAAACCATGTGATTAGTAGTGCAATCCTGAACAGAGTTACATTGAAGTCGATGGACTTAGAAGGGTATAATGGCCCCTGCCACACGGCAGGGGAAAAGACTCTTAAGGCGCGGCTTTTAAAAGCCGTGCCAACGTTGAGACGCCGCGGCGGGATCCCACGGATCCCCTGGCCGCCTTTTCTCCCCGGCACCCTAATCGGGAGCCGGCCGAACTGCGCATGTCGGAGCATGCGCAGTTCGGCTCCGGGCCGGGGTTGTGCCGGCACAAGGAGGCGCCGGCGATCAAACGCCCGGCTAGAAGCGCGGCTTCAAGTTGAACCACCAAGGTAGGTGGTTTCAACTTGAAGCGGATTCGAGCGGGGAAGGGCCAGTTCAGGGACGGAAGCACCACGCTTCCCAGATGTTGTGGTGTGATCGCGCTGGTTTGATCCACCCCCGAACTGTCCCGCAACTGGCCCAAATCACCTCGTGTGGACGGGACCAATATTGCTTAGGAGGGTATTGTGTGGCTCCCAAAGCTATCGCCTCTGTCTGGGGTAACATAGTTAAGAGGCTGAGAAAGAACAAACTTACAAGGTAGAGGAGATGCTGGTTGATCAGCTGTCCCTTTCTACACAGGTCATGGCTACTCACTTTAGATAGGATTCACCTGTCTTTGACCAATACTGTTAGAAGCTTAGGAATCCTGTTAGATTCTACTCTATTACATAAGTAGGTTACTATGGTGGCTAAGAGTGCACTTTCCTAGCTGCTTTTAGTCTGAGAGCTTCCCCCCAGTTTAAAAAGTGCTGGCCATGCTGTGCTGACTCCTGCTATAACAGCCTTGAAGTTTGATTACTGTAGCACATTCCAGGTGGGTGGGGCTGCCCTTGAAGACTACATGGGAACTCCAATTGATATAAAATATGGTAGCTCATTTGCTAACAGATGGCCCTAGTCACACGAGCGAGACAATCGGGGGGGGGGGGGGGCAAGGCTTTTTGCTCTGGGGCAAAATGAAGCACGGTATCATGATCAGATGTTCCCCCAAGGCTCTGTGCTCAGGCCATCAGCTGCCGATGGTGAAGCGTGGAAAAGAAAGGGGAGGTTCAGCAGTAATGCGTTCGTGCGCATGCACAGTTCCACATTTGAGTGCATACCACAGAGGCATAAAAAAAAATCCGGTGGGATGTAGACGGACGTCAGATGCGACGGGATACCAGCGTTTCCGCGATCAGATGCCCGCCCATGCTGTGCGTTTTCCAGAAAAAACTGCACTTTTCCAGGTATCTTTTTACTCCGCATCTTCGGTGGGGCGATATGGATTGCCAACAGGTGCAGGACACTTGCCAAATGTTCCTGTGTGATCATGCCCGTAAAATCTGCCTGACATTCATCCCTATCGTGCGGCAAATTCTGCGTGTGACCGGGACTGATGGGAACCTTTCACTCCCATTTTGTGATCTCTTTAATTACTCCCAGTTTGTTTCTAAGTCCTGTTCAAGGTATTGAGCTTTTTCTTTAATGCTCTTCATGACCTGAGAAGTACATACCTAAAGGACTGCCTCTCCCAATAAGAGTCCATGCAGAAAGTACGCCTGGCACAGCAACACCTTTAGGCATTGCCCCTCTCTGGGTGTGGTTAGGTATTCATCTGCTTTGGAGGGGGGCAACTGCTCCTTATCAGTGGCCTCCCAGAAGGATTGAGGAAGACTTTCTCCATCCTGAAGGAATTCCAAAGGGACTACAAAAATGAACTCTTTAAGACTCCTTCAGGGGTTTATGTGTTAATCCCCCCCTTTTGTTATTGTATCTACTTTCTTTCGCATGTAACAGATATTGTGTGTTTTAACTTTGTTACGTTCTTTGGGTCTCAGTTATTAGGAGAAAGGTGACTTTATGAATATTTGAAATGAATAAAATTATCCTGGAAGCTCTTCTCTTCTGCAGCTCAGAATGTAAAATGAGATTCCGTACCTTCTTGGTAAATATTCAGATTGCTTAGCTGCTGTGTGAACAAGAGTACTTTAAAGTTAAGCTCTTTTCTCTATGAACCATCTCATCAATCACTGAGAGCTACATGACTACACCATCTAATTTTTGTTTGTGTCTTCTCTACTTGGGGTTGAGTCTCACACGTTTCTTGTGAATGTTCTATATTCAACTTGGTATGTGTTTGCATACATGGGGCAGAATTGAATTTCTAAGCACCTTTTCATTATGGCTGTGAACGGGAAATGATCATTCCCAAGATGAGATGCAATACAGTACATATGCATGATCTCATTAGCCAATATGGGGAGGAGAGGGAGAGAACACCTAGAATCTTAGGACCTTCTTTGGCAAATGCTCACCAAGATGATTTCCACATAACTTGAGGAGAGTTCATTCTCCACCACCACCTATTGTTTGTGGACATCCTAATATGGAAATAGAAGAGGCAAGGGAAGTACTCGATATCTTCTAGGTTCAACAGAACCAACTGGCTATGTCAGAGCTTCTCAGAGATTGGTTCAATTGAGGCCACATTCAAGGTGTTTAAAAACATTCTTGGGTCTGTTCCACATATTTGGGTTGGATCCAACCAGCTTTTCTGCTGTTGGCAAAAGAAGGAATGGTCCCTTTGACCATCAAAAAAAGAGAGAGGCTAAACTGGGGGTCGTGGGACCTGCGTGAACAAAAGCCAAGTGGGTTTGGGAGCTGTGGTATGGAGGGGGGATTGTATGAGATTAAGTGAAAAAGATGACTGGATCCAACCCATTCCTTTAAACACAAAGGATGACTTCTGGATGTGAATGCTCCATCACAGATCTTGCTGCCATTTCACATCTAATATGGACCGTTCAGCCAAGTTTGTAGTGCAAAAAGAAATCTTTATTTTGATTACTTCATTCCAAAAAAGTAAACATCATGGAACGCTACATTTTCTGCAAGGACGTGGCTCCAGAAAGCTAAGCCACAAAGCTCTCCTTATGAGAAGCCATTCAAGGGTAGTTAAAAGAGCATGCTGGAAAATACAGCAATGATGCTTACTCTGAGGACAGAAACATACTGCTTTTCAAATGCTATTAAATGAAACCTAAAGGAAGCTGTCAGGGGACTGACCAATTGCATTCTCAAATGACAGTTCTGGAGTGATTAAACCCCTCCAGCTTCCATACACTGTCTTTCCATAGGCAGAGACTCTTTTGTCACACAAAGGAGAGCACATATTATGGTAGGTTATGCAAAGTGCTGTAAAGTCACAGTTAACTTATGATAAACCCATAAGGTTTTCAAGGCAAGAGATGTTCAGAGGTGGTTTGCCATTGTCTGCCTCTGCATAGCAACCCTGGACTTCCTTGGTGGTCTGCCATCCAAACACTAACCAAGTCCCACCCTGCTTAACTTCTGAGGTCTGATGAGATTGGACTAGCCTGGGCTAGGGAGGCTAGTCCAATAATAATAATATGTACTCCAGGTTAGGGAGTACGTATTATAAAGATGACTTAATTCTCCAGTATTCTCTCATCCAAAAGACCCTGTTATCTGGTTACCTTTTCTAACCAGAGAGTTTTGTAAGCACTACAACACTCATAGATCAGAAGAAATACTCAGGTCCCGGTCACATGGGCCGGAAAATGCGGGGGGGAAGCGTGGCTGTTTGCCCCGGAGCAAAATAACGCACGGCCACCCGATCACACATTTCGTTGAGGTCCCGTGGTTAGGGCATGAGGTGCCGATCACACGGCTATCCTGCAGCGTGGCAAAGAAGTGGTGTGGCGCAATCACACCAGCAATCGCTAGGTGCCGCTTCCATGGCAAACGGGAATATTTTTTTCTCACCAAAAGGTGAGCATGCGCATGATCGTTTGTGCGCATCCTGTGAAGACTTGGGGAAAAAAACCTAACGGGTTTGCGATGGGACTAGGATGGGACGCGATCAGACGCCCGCCCTTGCCCCGCGATTTCCGGAAACTGGTACATCG